AAATAAACATATTTCAAGAGTGTTTTGGGGAGCTAAATTATCAGAACACTGCCAAAATTTCAGCAGAAGTCATTATCATCTTAAAGTTTAAAGATCAAGGAACCCCCTTTGATGGGGCTTCCTAAAGATCTTTCTGTACATTTTTCTGCCCACATCATTTTATTTATGGATCATCATCATTAAAAATGTACAAGATCAAGCTGTACTGATCACCTCGTAAAGAACATTTTCCACGTTGTCATGCAAATCATTTAATAAAGCCCCCAAAATAATATTCCAAAAATTCATAGCCGTAATAAATGTTTTTTTTTGTTCTATCGTAGGATTGAAAAGTTCAACCGGCAGTTCATGGGAAATGCATGAGTGAGCACAAACTGTAAACAGAAGCCACGAAAAATGATGATCTACTATCGAATATAGGCCAAATAAATGCGTAAACAAAAGTCGAACAATGGAAACTAAACTTATCAGGCAACGAAAGATCGAAATGAGCTATGCACTCGAGTGCAGATGGGTCAAAGGGCGATCAATCAGTGATCAGTGATTTTATGGGCCCTCCCCCTGAGGACACTTGACTTAATGGCAGTCATAAAAGAAAGGAAAACTCCTTGGAAGAGCCCAATGAACTTGGACCAGATCAAACAAATTCATTTGCTTCGGAAAGAGAGGAACAACTTTTGTAAGGTTTTTCTGTTAACTCAAACAAGTTTTCTTCATCCAAGCACATTTTTTGTTGCTCTTTTTTTCTCTTATTGTTTTTTTGTGGGTGAGTCTTGGCCAAACTGACGCCATCAACCGGTTTGTATTTTTGGCTACGCCATGGCATTTCTGTTCCTGCCTTTTTGTGGCTCGGCGTTAGTGTTTGTGATTGCTGACTCGAGTATCTGCAAGACACACAGAGAGTGACTCAGTGACTCAGAGCAAGAGCAACAGCAAGAGCCTTTATTAAAATATATTTTTGTTTTGTTTTGAAAATAAAATATGTTTTGGGGTGCCAAAATAAAAGCAAAGAAGAGACTCGCCGTGGCAAGTTTCGGCTCCCCCCAACACATGATGTCATTGCCAACAAACTACAGCAAGTCCGAGCCAAATGCATGAAAGAAAAACATTCCGAAGCGTCGAAGTTTTTACACTCTATGCAGCATTAAAAAGGAATATATTTATTATAATTTTGGAGAGAGAAAAACGTATTTGTGAAATATTTATCAAATAATCTTACAAATCAATTTGAGGTGCAAATATGCCTGCACATTTCCCTCTGGCTGTACCCAAACCATATCCAAAAACCCATAGCCCCCTCCGCTCTCTCGTAAGCGTATCTGTTTTATCTTCCTACAAATGTAAAGCAACTGAAATGCAGTTATTTCGCATTTGGCCAACGGAATGAAAGTGAGTTTTGCTTTAATGAATTTCATTTATTTTGTTCACGTTTCTGCCACCTCTCCCCCCATTACGTGCTTCGCTTTTCTTTTTAGGTTTTTGGCTCGTTTTTGACCCTCAATTTGTTGCGGGGTTTTCCTCGTGCAACATATTTCGTTTTCCTGGTTTTCCCGCTAAATATTTATTAATGTGCCAAGCAACAAATTGATTTGTGTTGTGTTATGTGTTTTTGTTATGATTATAATACCGTGTTGAAGCAGCAAAGAAAATCGTGGAGTAACATCACTGGACGATTATGCAATTAATCCAATTTCTGTTGTTGCTTTTGCTTTTGCGATGCTTTGATAAGCGGATTTTATGAACCACATAATTGGGTTAACATCTTTCGAGAGTAATCTACGGTTAATTATAGTTTTCTTTTCAGTTGCGCAATCGAGTTGGAGACCAGTTTCAGCCATTCATCCATCATTCGTGAATGATCTTAGTGATTCAATATCAATCTCGCCACAGCTGCCTAACCAATTAATTTCCTTTTTCAATTTTCGTTCAACCGATTCCCATCTGACAGCGCCTCCTCCACTCAAGGCAAAGGCATTTGGCTTGTGGCTTATCAAAAGGCAGCGGGATACCTAATTGTGATATATCGTCTGAGTGTGCTCAGTAATTAAATATATCTGTGGCCACTTCTAGTATACATTTGAATGAATCACTGCCCAAATACTGACAGAATTTCGGATTTGAAGCTTAGCATGCGTAATGAAGTGATGAAGCCACTCATTATCATATGAGTAAATGTTCAAAGTCAAAGCGAAACTTCTACTATTTCCACAATTTTGTAGACCCCTTGCTAATCGGAAAGATAAATATGTGGACTCGACAATGTAGCGAGAACTTACATGATAGTGATCGTTTTTACATGAAACTTAGCGAGGCATGCAATGCAACGACCCGTGGCAGCTTGGAGAGAGACAGAGAGAGAGAGAGAGAGAGAGAGAGAGAGAGAGACACACACCACACACAGACGGACAACATGCAACAAGTTGTTGACACACGCCGCATGAAATGACATACTACAGTGCCTCGGTGCCATGGTGCTGTGGGGGCACCTCGTGGGCTGTGTGGCAGGTAAAGGAACTCCACATATTATGGACCCTCCACTGCCTCTGACAGTAAACTGACTATTAAAACATGCTAACTGGAACCAACCACAATGCTGGCCACACAAATATTGACACGCGGACGTGGTGGGCCACAGGTGGCAGATTGTTGGGCTAGGGATTGCTGGGGTAGCAGAGAAATGAATTGATTGTCAGACACACCAGATATCGTCTGATATCTAACTGAAATCTATAATACTGATATAATTCTTTGCCCTAAAATGTGTTCATTATTCAAGTAAAATTCTCCTAAAAGAGGTGTGTTCTGTCTCTTTTCATCTATAACCAGATTTTGGCCTGATTTTTCGACATAAAATCTTTAAAGATGCTCTCGAAATGCGACGTCAATCATTCGTTGCCAACTTGACAGCGTGATCCGGAATGCTTTTCAATAGGAAAGCAACAAAAATAGCACAAAAATTGAATATAATTTAAATAAAATTAAAATGCTACAAGTAACTCACTTCCCAATATATGGATGCATGTGTTTTTTCACGCATTATCGCTCTGGGCTAAGTCTTCTAAGAGATTCCCCACTTCCAGTACCCTCTTAAATTATTTAAATGGCCTGCTAATGAATGTTTAAAAACCGAAAGTCATGCCGTCAACACTCACTAACTCACTCACTGATAAAACAAAAACTAAAAGTAAAGTTAAACACTTTAAACGAGCATGCAAATGGGTCCATTGAGCGCGCTCTGAAGTAGAACCAAGCGAAGCAACAAGCCAGACAGACAGCGGCGTCAGAACGGCCACCGGCAACCGGCGGAGTTTAATTGAAAAGCCGATAAAAGAAATCAACTTTAATCGAGTTGGAAAAGCCAAGAACCGCAACCGGTTGGGGAGCCGTGACACTGGCAATGGAGCAAAACAGACAAAGCCTTGAACTAGACCAAGAGAAGGCGACCACAAGGGGAGGAGCGAGAGTACAAGGCCACATGGGGGAATCAATATTTATTGGTTTTAGCTGACTTACCGCTTACGCAAGTTGTCCATGAACTTCTCCATTGAGACATGATCCAGTAGGACAAAGTCCTGTACGCCTACTTCCCGTTGCATTGCCATGTTTGCTGCTCCTTCTTTTGCTTTCCTTATTCGCTAAATTCCTTTGCGCTGTTTTGTTTTGCCCGGTGAGAGCGGGAGCGGGAGCGGGAGCGGGAGAGCGAGTTGCCGGCTGCAATTGCAGGGAACTCAGGTAAATAAGAAAGAGATGGAGCGATGCACGAGAAAAGAAGATCGAGAAAACGGAATATTTTCTGGGTTCACTTCTTGCTTTTGTTTTGCTTGTCGGTTCGTCTCTCTCCCTTCGCTCTCTTTTTCTCTTGTTTTATCTCGCACTGTGTGTTGCCTTGTGTCTCGCGTCTCGTTTAGAATTTTGATTATACAAAATATAAATATATATTTTTTTCGTTTTATGTTTTATGTGTGATTTTGTTGCTGTTTCTGGTTCTGCTGATTTCGACGTTTAATTTCTGCTGTGACAACACACTCAATTATTAAAGAATATTTTGGGCTCGATCCAGCACTCTGCCAATTGGAATGGATCAGTGGCATAAATTGACATCACATTTGATTAAACGCACAATAAAACCGCAAATTTCGCGTCGCTGGGCCGGAATAAACATTTATGTTTGATTTCTGCGGGCCAGTCCAGATTTGGTCGAGAACTTGTTCGGAATGCAGCGAACGCGAGACAATAATGTATATTGCCAGCTGGTTTAGGTTTCAGCGCTGACGAAAAGCACGAACACGGCAGAGAGTTAGGGAAGCACAAAACATAAAAACAGCGCGCCAACAATACTTGCTGGACAACAAATTCAAAACAATGTGACCTTGGACTTATAGATAAAATATACCGCACGGCCCCTTAAAAATATACCTTCTTCTTTTTCAAATATACCGTAGACATGCAGGAACCAAACAAATTAATTTTCTTGATATTGATATTATATATAATATTAGCAGTAAATATATCACATCGCAATGTGGAACTTTCACCACATGAGGGAAAGGTGAGGGCCTTAAAAAAAGCTCGTCCTCTTTTACCTGATTGACATACCTTGCCAAAATGAACGCTCTTCTTGGCTCACGTTTGCGTCTAAAATGTGAGCGCTAAAATATCACTGAAATATACCGAAATAATATAGGTGCACACTTCCGATTTCCTCGATTTTGATATTCTATTTAATATTACCAGCTAGTTGGGATTTTCAGCGCTAAAACTATAATTTTATGCGATTCATCAATAAATTTTCCACAAAGCTGGCCAGTTTTCATTACGTTTTTTTCATTAGATTGTCTTCAACATAAGTTCCAACCTTAAAAGAAAAATACGAATTGTCGTGATGGAACATCGATATCGAATTATCAATGCTGGTTGCGAATGCGATAAATATCGTGCATATTGGTTGTGCGCCAGATTTGAATTATGTTGCTATTTTTGGATAAAATATTCCCGAAACGTACATTTTAACGCTGGTATATATTAAATTTAAGGATAAACAAAGTGATTTAATGCCATCCCGAGGTCTTCTTGGACAGCACCACCTTCTGCATGTGCTCGTCGGCGGTGTGGGTGGTGTGCGTGCCGCCGGCATGTCGTGGCACACACTTGACCATGGGCACACCAGCGGTGCCCTTGGTCCAGGCACTGGCACAGTGGGGGAACTCGTCCTTGCGGTAGTAGCCCATGATGCCAGATTTGCGTATCTGCCCCAGCTCATAGGTCACAATCGGTCCCAGGCCTGTGGAGCCCTTGGCCGCCGGCAGCGAGGGTACCTTGGAGCGCTCCACGGTGCGCATCACACAGGGCGTGTCGCACGAGACGCAGGCCAGATCCTGCAGCACCTTCACCCGCCCAGCGGCAGCGGCGCAGTCATCGTTGGTCATTTCCATGTACTTTTGCAGCGCTTCGGCGATCATGGCCACACGCTTCTCGATGAGCTCGCGGAAGTCCTTGAGTCCGAGCTCCAGGGCATCGATGCCCAGGGTCATGCGCAGGTGATCGATGATCTGCAGGACATTCTTCTCGTTGACGTTGATGATGTGACGCAACTCGCAGAACTGCTTCTCCAGGCGCGCCTTGTACTCCTCCAGCTGCTCCAGCGACACCTTTGTGGCCAGCTGATCAAAGTCCACCTTCTCGGCCAGCAGCAGCTCCACCTCCGTCTTGTCGATCTTCAGTTCGTCCAAATGCGTCACGGACTTCCGCAGCAGCGAAATCTGCACCACATTCGCATTCACCTGCGAGAGCATGCTCTGTGTGGACTCCCGATTGCTGGAAATGTACATTTTGATCTCCCGCACCGTCTCCTGCAGATCCTTCATGTTGTTCATCAGATGCTGTGCATCCTGCTTCAGCAGTGCAGCGGCCAGCTCGTTGGTTTTGTTGGTCAGCGCGCAGAACTGCGACTTGAGCTCCAGCAGCTCGTTGAGCATGCGATCTGGGGAGTAGCAGAGTTGCTGCTCTAGGTCCAGGGTCTCCTCTTCCTCTGGCTTCTCCCCCTCTGTAGCGGTAGTGGAGACTGACCCCTCCTCCTGCATTTCCTCCTCAATGTCCTCCATTTCCTCGACCACAGCCTCACCACTCGTCCAACTGATGGACATCTCGTCGTCGGTGGCAGCTCGCATCAGCGCTCGCAGCTGCCGCGCAATATTTCGGATAAGCTTGAAGCGATCGGGATTGGGTTTGCGATCAATCAGCAGATGGGTGACATTATTCAGCTGCTCCATGGTGAGCTTCATATGTCCCGTCATAGTGGTCACAAAAGACTGCATCTCTATGGTGGCCTGCTCCTTTTGCAGCTCCACTTTGGACAGACGCTTCTCGAGGCGCGTCAGGTTGCCCGTCACGGAGCCATCCATGCGCGGCTGCGACCGCCGCTGAAAGGTGCGTGACGCCGCGTGCGACATCGGTTGAGGTTCCTCTGCCTCGGCTGGCTCTGCGGTCGCCGGCACTTCAGGTTGGGATGCCGATGCAGCTGGCTCTGGCTCTGGCTCCGGTTCAGGTTGTGGCTGTGGTTCGGCTTCAGGTTCGGGTTCAGGTGCTGCCGAGGGAGCTTCTTCGGGTGCAGCAGTCTCCGGCTCGGGTTCGGGTTCGGGTTCTGGCTCGGGTGCTGGTGTTGCTGGTTCTGGTTCAGGTTCGGGTGCAACTGCTTCTTCCTCTGCTGGAACTGGAGCTGCAGCTGGATCCTCTTCGGCTGCCGCTGGTTCCGCCTCTTCAGCTGGGGCGTCACTTGCGGGCGCATCAGCGGGTGCTTCCTCTGCATCGGCACCACCCACCAGACGATATTTGGAGCAGGGCCGGCCCATGGTCACTAAGGAAAGAGAAAATAGACAGTAGAATGTAGTAGATCCCGAGGGGTAATCCTCCCTTTCAAATACTCACTCAAACTGCTCTGCAAACGTATATTGGAGGCCAGGTACTCATCCTGCTCCACAATCTCATCCAGACATTCCAATTTCTGCGCAAAGTTGGACAGCAGCACGTGCAGGGCATAGAAATTGACGTGGCCCGACTCTGGTGTCCCAATGGCCACATCTATTAGATCCTTGTATGTAAATGTCATCTCGAATGGGTATTACGAGTGTGCGCTCAAATTTACGAATATACCAAAAAATCTACAATAAAATATGAACTGAACTGAACGGAATCTACGAATATAATGAAATGTTTGCTCCTGATCGAGAAATCAGAGCAATTTTGAGATGTTTGTACCTATGAATATCATTCATAGATTCGACTGCTGAAAAATGGTAACTCGGTTTTCGGTCAGAACAGAGTGTTTTATTACAATAAATGAATAAATTGATATTTTATCCAAATGCAACGATCGGTTCCCTTGTACCTAATGCCCACTGTACGCACACACTGGCACCGGCAAAGCATACACGCACACCAAAGGTACTGTACGACGGGTGGCGTCGGTAGCTTTCAGTCACGCCGAAACATGCGTTTCGTCGAAGCTTTTCGCCTTCGAAAAGCTTTCGTGCATTTGCCCAAGACATTTGGCAGGTCGTAACGTTAAAAACCGTTATCATTCCGGCTGAAACGCTTGTTGCTTCCACGTCTCTCTCTCTCTCTGTCTCTCTGCTGCTGCCTCGTCGCGTCAGTTACCGTTAGCAGTGAAACGAACCGTTGAATCGGCGCCATTATTCGACGCGTAATCCACGAATTTTAGCAGCAATTTGTGCTGACAAGTGAAGTGACAAAAGCCAAAAAGTGAGTGTAGGAGTGAAATGTGAATGGAAATGCTATTAATGAGGTAGCCAGAAATTGTTGGTCAGTGAAAAAGGAAGCAGCGGAAGTGGAAATCAAATAATGTTTAGATTGTGTGCGAATTGAAATGAAAGAAATGCAATCAAAAACAGATGAAAGAAAATTGTACAAAAAATACCCAAAGCAGAGGAAATTATACTACTAAAATTGTAAACAAAAGTGCATTCACTCTAATATATGGAATTTACGAGTGCGTGTGTGTCAAACGGAAATTTAAATAATTATAAATTATTGGATAATTATCAGTTTGTGGTGCGGAAACAACGATTACTGCCACTCATCACTTTAAAAATAGCTCTTTAAATATTTGTGTGTGTTGTTAATAATACAAATTCGATGCGCGAAATGTTTACAATTGAAAAGAAACGAAACAAATAGCATAAATTCAAATCCCATCCTCCCATCCATCCGTATACGCAAGTGTTGGATCAACGCAAACAAAAACTTGAAAGCTTTCAGCCATAATCAGCGGGTTGGAAAAGTCAACAATTTACAGTGGATTTTGGATTTTGCTCTAGCTGGTCTAAGTGGTCCATCAGCCGCAACAGCAGCATGGAAAGCCAAATGGTAAGTCCAACGATGAGCTGTCAATTTTATAGTTCAAGTTTTAACTGCTTCTTAGTGACTGCCTTGGGGTAGCTGCACCTCCTGATTAGATAGCAGCAACCCAATGAATGTGTTTCGACTGAATTCTTTGGCATTGTTCGGTGCATTATTTTTGTTCACATTTTTGTGCGAATTACTGGGTCTCTGATTGATGATCGCCTCAATTGAAGCACACGCACGTCGCAATTGATATTCCCCATTTGACACTGATCAATTCTAGATAGACGATCGCCACAGATGTGACTGATTTCAGGTTCAGTTTGCGGCATAATTGCCCCCCCCCCCCCCCCCCCCCCCCCCCCCCCACCCCCCCCCCCCCCCCGCCTCCCCCTCCCTTCCTTTTTCTCTTTTCTCTATATTTTTTTTTTTTTTTTTTTATTTTTATATTTTTTTTATTC